TGTGTTATTAATTGTGCTTGTGATACGTTAATAGGATAATTTATAGCTATTCTTTCGTCAGTTAATGTGACAATAAAATTGTACCAAGATTCCAAATTGATTTCATATAACGAATCTGTAATATTAATATCTCGCTTCTCACAAGGTTTTTGTTTAACGGTATGTATATCATCAAGTATATACATTGCCAACTTTTTCCAGTAATCTTTCGATTTATCCAATAATTTTTTCAGATTCATAGTAAAATCATCTTCCAATGTGGTACTTTTGAACAACTCTAAAGTAATTATATCTAGTAAATGAGAATAACCTTTTGCACCTGGTAATATCTCTCTGAAAAGTGGAGCAAAAAGGTGAGTCCAAAAATTCTCGCGTTTTCGAAAAAAATTTACAAGAATTTCATTTCTATGATACCACATTGCTCGTAATAATGCCATTGTGCTATTATATAATTTGTCGCTAACAATATCGTCTCTTTCATAGATTCGATTTAAATATTTAACTAAAAATTGCCTACATCCTTCAGTAAAAAATTCTTCTACCGATCGAGGAAAGATTCGTTTACATTCTGCTGGATGTACGATATTAAAGAGAGCTTCTGTAAGACCGGGCTGCTTTTCTAGACATACAGCAACCAATTCAAGAATAGCAACTTTGACATCTGCGACACAAGTTGGTGACATAAGACCTCTACGAGAAGCAAAAGTCTCTCGTATAGCTGTACCGTCCATACCCATACAAACTAAAAGTGACATAGATGATCCTTCAGCAAATTTTTTTAATAATCTAACAGCCATTGCTTGTAAAGGTGGACTGAACCAAACATACAAATAATTTACAATTGTAGGTACTATTAAAAGTCCATTTGGTACACGAGGTGAAGAATATAATGCAGCTTCTAATGGTGATCTCTCTCCTATTTCTAAACCCAAGGATTTTCGAAATATAAGTAATCTATTTACTACAGATAAAGCCAATTGTACACTTTTGATTGCTTTGAAACCTTTCCCGCGAATCCAATCTGTTTCTGCCATCATTTTATTATGTAAAGTACGTTCGCCAGTACGAATTAATTTAAGTAAAGCATGTCGTGGTTCTAAATATAGTAAACTATATGCAACAACAAGTTGTAATTCATTACGTATATCCTCTTTTGGTAAACTAGATTCTAGCGCTCTATGAAGACAAAACATGCTTTTTAACCACAAGTCAGTTCTTTCCGCATCCGAATCGAAATACCAGAAATCTAATTTTGGTAAAACACCTTGTAATAAAAATACCATGCCAGGTATTTCTATTGTATATAGAGCTTCCTCGTTATATTTTCTGATTAAATATTTTGATAAAATATCCAAATATGCATTCAAGATTGGATAAGAATGAGCGATCGTTTCTATTGCAGATAACCATGACGCAATTATACCACCATCAAAGGAAACGGCTTCAGCAAAATCTAATGTTTTTTGATACCGATTATTAAACCTTGGATAGACACCCGCTCGCATTCGAGATAAAATTTCTTCTGGATATTCTAACACAAGTTCGGATGAAATACTGATGCAAGCTGCAACTATTTTGTATATATACATTTTTTCTTCAGGTAATACAGGATAAGAAAATCTGTTTATGATTTCAAAACTTAATTCCGTTGGAATAACCATATTTTCTCTATTCCATATTTCTATGTGTTTAGCTAATGTTTTTAACAATTTTAAACCTTGTGAAACATGCTCTGGCAAATTTTTATTCATTTTATTACAGCCTGTAATTCCACCGCCTGCTTGAGAAAACAGCTGTTCTATTTTGTGATGTAAAGCATGCCAATAACTTGTTCTTTGTCGGAATATCACTACTTCAGATCCACTTGACAATATACGTATATTTTCACATGGACAATCTTCTGATATAGCATATGAATTTCTGTGAATCACACATTCTTGTTCATATGGTTTGAATGGTTTACTATAGTCTCGTTGTCTCGGTACTTCTAATGTTAATGATGGAAGATTATCCAATTCTATTGCGATTTTTTCGGCACTTAATTCTGATGCAGATGCTAATCCAATTGCAATATTTGTTAATGGTTCAAATTCATATGGAAATTGTTCAGCTGCAAATTTATAAATCAACCATAAACCATCATCATGTTCTTTCCAAAATCGCATTGCAGTTTCAGGAAACTGAATTGTAGCAGCAACAGCATTGAAAATATAATTTAATTCATTTTCATTTTCGTCATTTAATTTATCTTCATTAATAAAAGCACATGCTAAAGTAAGAAGGTTATACACACTACTTCGTACAACTTCAGCATAATGAGTTTTTTCACAAATCATTTCGCTATTCATCAAATCTTGCAAGTAATGAAAAACATTTAATTTTATGGCTTTGATACCAAAATGTTTAAATCGATTCAAAGTATCAATATTTTCAGGATCAATGGCATAATTTGCTAACATCCAGGATAAAAAGAGTGGACTATCTTGAGGAAAGTTATCACGAATACATTTTTGTTCAAAAGTTTCTTGCATACTATTTCTTACACTATGTATCCAATCTTCCATATTAAAACTACAAAGAAAATACATTTTTATTGACATTATAATATTTAAAATTTTAAATAAAAAAATAGAAAGTATAAAAAACATACTGTTTTCTAATATCTAATGCTACTATTAGTAATGCTACTTGACTGTATTGTATTTCTTGAATTTTCCTGGCAATTGCTTTTTTATCTTCATGACTTTTTGTACTTGCTAATCGTCTTGGTTCTCCCTGTAAATATTAAATTATTATTATATAGTAATTTAATAATATTTAATAATATTTAATTATTAGTTATATAATGCTTACTCCAATACTTTCATAAAACTTCATAAATTCAGTATCTGCGATATGTATATCATGAATAATGACTGTTAATATATGAAGTAATTCTCGCATTTCAATAAGACTACTATTGTATAATCTGTATAAATACTCTTCTGTACATAGCTGTGATCGTAAAGGTGGATTTATTGTTTTTAGCATTTCTATTTGTTTTTGAATGGAATCTAATAGAGTTCCAAATAATACATCATCAAAGAATTTTGCAAATTCTTTTTGATAGCGATGTCCTTTATCTTCATCTTTATACTCAACCATTAATTTAAGGCACTTTATCAAGGTCATTCTTTCAGAATAATAAAATTCCCAAATATCATCAATCAATACTTTCATTGATGTAAAATCTATTAGTTGTGATGCAAAAGTTTCTGCACAATTTCTATATTCATATTTTATAAAATTACATACTAGATCCCATGTAATCATGGCATCTAAGTTCTAAAATAAATAATTTATTATTTATCATTTTTCATCAGATAATTACAGAAAAATTATTTGTAATATAATAAAATTTATTTATAATACATACAAGAAGCGGAGCAAGTTTACTGATTAATTCATACATTCTAGGGGATGGATCATTTTTAGGTATATTTTGAAGTGACACTTCTGTATATGGTTTAAAAAATAATAATCCTTCTTTAAGAAGTTTAGTTTCCTTTTTAATTTCATCTTCTACTAGTTGTTTTTCACATCGACACACTGTATCCGATATTAAAAACCATAATTCCTTGCAATAACTTAATTTTGTGAGATATATATATTTTTTTTGAATTACAGATATCCATAACATGAAAAATAAATTTATTTTTAAAATTTAGAATAATCTAAAGATAAAACATTTCTTTAATCAAGTAATTAAATATTTACTTACGGTAAACTTTCTATAATAGGTACTTCCATTTCCAATATATGGATTTATATTAGCTTATATAAAGCATATAAAATATCTTGTCAATGTCTTATATGAAATTCAATTAAATATACTATCTAATATTACTTTTTATTTGATAATAATAATTCACGATTAATATATATTATAAACAATAATCGAGACATAACCTCGATCAATGTACAAAATTTAACGACTGATATAAACATTCGAGCATCTTTCAGTTAATTGAATTATTGATTTATATATGTTAAGATAGAAATGATTAGGGACCCTAGAATTCACGTTGGTTACACTGCTGTAGATTTCCCGCCAAGAATTGGCGCGGAGTTCATAGATTAAAGAAAAATAATCTTTACGAAACATAATTTTTATAAAAAATAAATACTATTTTTATTACTTTTATTACTAGATGTTTTTTTTATTAATTTTAATACAATTAAGAATATACATTTTAAATAATATTCAAAATTATTAGATAATGAATTGCTTAATTAAATGAATGAATAGATAAATAGCAAACAATAACATATTTGCATAGTTTATTACTAGATGTTTTTTTATTAATTTTAATACAATTAAGAATATACATTTTAAATTATATTCAAAATTATTAGATAATAAATTGCTTAATTAAATGAACGAATAGATAAATAGCAAACAATAACATATTTGCATAGTGCAATATAATTTTACTGACAATTTACTGATGAATTTGCGAACATGAATTTTATATTATTTGAGATAATTTTTATAATTAGATGTATAATTAAATGTGAATTTTTTAAGTATAATAGATAACTATATTAAAAAAACATAATGAAAATAATCTGCAAAAATGCGAAATCAAAAATAAATGTTTTTTGTACAGTAGGTGTTGATGATGTTAGATAGATATTAAAAATAAAAATTTATGATTGTGTAAAAGAAAAATCATTTTAAAAAAAATGAAATAGGAAAAAAAGAGCACAGTTATCAAAACATCGATTTGTTTGTTAAATATATTATTGTAATCTATAATTAGATAATTAGGTAATCATATAAAAACGTTAATTGACTAATCTATTCGCTAAATACAATAAACTTTATTTTTTTTTACAGAATTTTATTAAATGTAGTTGATAAAATTTTATCAATATATTTTATGATTATGAATAATAATTTAGATCGGTTACTATTAATATAAAAGCAATTTATGAAAATAAATTTAATATAAACTATATATGTCAGATGCTACGGAAGAAACAAGATTGTTCAGTAGAAAAATATTGGGTAAAGGAATGGTTTATAAGAGAAGAAACGATAGCGACATCAGGGCGCCGACGCGAGGCGTCGAAACGGTCGACGCCGCGTAGACGCCGATTGTTCGCCAGTACACGTTCGTCTTGAACACAGAGCGTATCGGTTATATTTATTGCGAAGAAATATTTTTTTCGGTTGTGCACGATGTTATTGCTAGCGTGAGTGTATCAATGAAAGAAAGTCAGGATTATTATGAGACCTATTATGCATCTTTCTCTGTAAATAATTTTTTTTATCGTAAAATCAATTTCTTTTTTCGTTAAAGATACACGTTTTCGCAATTTGTTTTTTCGATGTTCGATTTATCCTATTTTGTGAATTTTGTTCGATAGACAAATTAGAGTACAATAAATATTCGTGAGTTTTATCTGGCCTCTAAATGTTTCATATTTTCTTTTTACAAAATTTTTTTTAAAATGAAAGAGAAATTTTAATAGGACATTAACAGAAAGTTTAAAAAAAGATTATTGTTAATCAACGACTTAAGTTCAATGTTTATGATAGTTCCAATGTTCTTAGTGTTCGTAATATTCACAATGTTTGGAAGAATCTCGTGAACGTAAAGCATTAAATCATCAGGGAGCGCAACAAGAGCGCACAGGTTCGGACGGCAACGAACAACTCGACGAATATTTCATCTTGAGTTGTTTCCGTGTGTGTTTTCATAATGTATGTACGTCGCGATTCTTGTTATTATGGATGCATCCGTCGGGAAATATAGTTTCAAGAACGCATAGAATTCTCTGACGCGCTTACTTACATGGTGCGCGTTAAAAGTATTTTTACGTTTAATACAATTTGAAATTCGAACGTGTAGTATCATGTATGTGACACTGCGGTTTTTTCTAAGTTCATTTATCTTTTTATATCTATAATTTAATGCTACGATCGCAACGGGATGAGATTTTAAAAATGTTCAATCACAAATTGATTCATCGATTTATCGAAATGCTCAATCGCTTTCTATTCTTCTTTCGGTTATGAAATCGAATATGACTGGTGAATAAACGATTGAATATATGATTATGCTTCATTAAATATCATCAAAATTAGAAGAATTTCTTCTATTTTTCATATTTGCTTTCATATAATCTCTTTTATCATTGTAGAATTGCTTAAATGAAAATGATTTACAACAATCTAGAAAAACAATCATTGAACATAAATATTTTTAAAGTTTGCAATTGCACACAAAATTTGTCAATATCATGAAATATTGTTAGTATAATTATTGAAAGTTTTCTTATTCTTTGATTTGTATTTCAATCGTAACGCTTAGAACGTGTGTTTGTTATTATACCATTATATCATATATCACGAGGGTTGGCAGTGTTTATATACATATATTTTAAAAAAATTTGTAGTGATAAAGTCGATGACTGTATCTTATTTTATAAAAAGAAACTTGGTCTTCTCTTAACGTGACAAAAAAAATTGGTCATTGTCTGACTACGATAGAAGAATGTGCTTAGGTGTGCGATTGACATACCGGAGCTGAGATGTACGTCGTGGCAAATTGTTTCGCGATGAACTAAGTTCGCGATTCAAGAGGCGACGTTTTTGAATTGAGTCCACGATCGTGCGCGACCAAGCAGACAAACGAGATAAAAAATAGAGAAGAAACCGGCGGCGGAGAAGTGAAAAATGAGGGCCTCGTTGCTGTTGCTGGGGGGCATCGTGGTATTCTCGGTCGCAGTCGCGAGAGCTCTCTCCTGTGTCTGTTCACCCTTCGAGTGTGACATTCTCACCGATGAGGATTGTCCCGGAGGCCTCACCTGGGATCCCTGTAGGTAAGCCAAAAATCATTTTTTCTTTTAATATCTAATTATTAACGATTCATTCAATATTTTTTTAATAAAAATATATATCATACATTAGAAAAATGATATTCAAAATTTGTATTTATTGAATTATTATTAATAATTAAGTTAGTAATTAAAATAATTTCAAATTATGAATTTTAAATTTAATACTTTAATATGATATTTTTAAGTTATATTATAATTTTTATATCGATATGATCTATTTAAAGTTTCTATTTTTCTAAAATCTTAATTTTTAAATTACGTCATTTTTCTAGCAAGTATGTGATATTTATACATTTCATATAATAATAAATATAATAATAAATTACAAAAAATATTGGATAAAAATATTTTGCTCTTATATCACTGAAAGTTATTATATATCATTCTATTTATTTATTCTTATCAATAAGAATATCGAACTATAACTAAAATATACAAAATATTTTTGATAACATCATGATCGATATTTAAAATATTATCTCAAGTTGATCTTTTAATTTACCTTTCTATCCAATGTCTCGATGTCCAATTTATTTTACGATCTTATTACTTTAGAATTGTAAATCTTTGAGATTTGCTTATTCTTCAAATTAATTTCTCTTACGAAAATTGCATTTTATTTATATTATTTATTTCATTTTTGAAGTTATCAAATGTAGTAAACTATCATTTGCGTGATCTTTTATGTATAATCTTTCGCATCTTTTCTATGTATATTTCTAATATTTCGAAATATGTGTGATTTATATATATATAAAACTATACATATACAGTTATATCTTTAATTATTTCTGTTGCCCAAAATTAATCGATATTTGATTTTTTCTTTTTTTTTCTTTTTTTTATTTTTCCTATAAATAATATTCGACACTTATATCTGTTGTATATTCCATTGAAAGATCTTCTATTATTAAAGTCTCTATTGAAAAAGAGAAAAAAATCTGCTTTTTGCGTAGCGTTTTTTGTCTGATGAATTTTATTGCGTTATTAGTGATATGCACTGATAAAAAATAGCGTTTGATAAAAGGAAACCTGAATATTCAAACTAGTAGTGAACAAAAGCGTCAGTCTTCGAAATTTTATGCCGTTTTTCGTTCGCATGTTCGAACGACTATTGCATATCGATCGTTTTTTGCGTTATAATATCAAATCATTTTCTTTCAACATAACGATAAACAATAAAGTAATAAATTAAAATGCGGATTAAACATTATCTTAGAATCCTTTAAGGCAGGAAATTGCAACATTTGAAATTCTGATGCAATCAAAAATAAGAGCCTAGATTTTATAAATTTTTATATATGGTAATATATACTACAATATTGAAATATTTACTTTTTCTCGATCCGTAAATTAATGACGCACTTTTCGTGACTAATTGAATTGTAAATAATCAAGGTTGAATTTATGTAAGAGATCTTTCTTATTTGATTATTTTGAATTTGATCGAGTTCTTTAGTTTTCGATTCAAGTTACAATTTCAAGGAAATGAACTGTATTTTTCTTTCAAAAGAGGAAGTTGGCGATTTGTTTGATATCAGTAATAATTTTAATATTTAACGATGTATTATTCGATAAATAGAGATTGTTTTCATCTTATCACTTTGATGACGAACTACATGATTTTTTCTTTGCGTGTCTCGAACAATTTAAATATTTATTTTCGTGCGATGCAACGAACGAAACGAACGAATTTTAATCATAGCTTGTCTAACAGCTTTCATAATTGTGGAAATTGTGGAAATAATTTGAAAATTATTATATTATTGATGCATCTTTTCAGATTATTATTCATGAATTCTTATTTCAATATATTTCTTTTATTACAATCTCTATGTTTTTTAATGCAATTTATTATATAATAATTATTATAATATCATTATAATATCACTAATTATAATATAATATTATAATTAATATATAATATTAATAATGAGATATTGTTCTGATATCTATTTATTAAACGTTACTTATTAAACATAGTTAAATTTATAATATAAAATTTTATATTAATATGTATAATAAAATATAAATATATATATAAATAATTTTATATTAATATTATATTTTTAATATTAATGCTTTCAAAAATATTTAGTATAATATGCTATTGTTAGATCTACTATTTCATCATATTTGATTTTGATTTAGCAAAATTAAATTTTTTTGAACATATTAGTCAGCATAAGTAATTAAATAATTGACAGTATGGATAATTGAATAATTAAATAATAAGTTATTAAGTTAATAATTAAATATATATAGTGAATAATTAATTTAAATTATATTTATTATAAATTAATATTTAGATAAAAGAATATATGTTTAATTAATTGCAAATTAAATATAGATGAATATCTTAGATTAAGATACTGATTATAAAATGCATAATGGTAAGATAAGATAAGAAGATAAGAAAATTATTTCATAAAAATGGAAGAAACGCAATATAAAAAAATTGATTACTCTCGATTCAACGATAAGACAACGTAATAAAATTGCTCCTCGTAGTTAGAAATATATTCTATACAAAGCATAACGAGTTCTTTATCATTATTTTTTCTTTTTTTCTTTCTCTTCTTCTTTATTTCATATTTTTTAACTTAATTTCTTAATTTTCATAATGCAAATATTGTATCAAACTAGGTGAATTTCGTTTACCTATAATGGCTATATTCCTAATTAAAAAATTAAGACCATTTACAATTTTCTGTATTTTATAATATATAATAATTTAAAAGATTTAATTAAAATTTAATTGAATTTTATTAATTATTTTATTAATTAATTTAATAATTATTTCATATATATAATAATATAAATATATATTATGAAACAATTAATAATAAATAAAATAATATATATATATAATATATATATTAATTTAATTTATATTATGATACATGTATAATATCTTATTATTTTTTAATATATTCCTAATATTTAATATTACTAATTTGATTCTTGCCACGAATCTAATGAAAATATAATGAAAATATTTATTTAAAATATTTATATATAAATAAGTCATCATATTTGTTAATTTAAAAAAAAATTGATAAAAAAATGAAATATTTGATAAAATCAAAAATAAAAGATATATATGGAAAAGAGCATACTGAAAAGAATAATCAAAGCAAAAAGAGAAAAAAAAATATTAATATACATATATGTGAAAAAATAAATACTATATATATGTGTATATTAATAATCGATAAAAATAATTTATAAAAATTATTATTAACTGCTGTATTAAAAACACCAAAAATTTTGAAAATTATATATATACAAAGATTTTAATTTTCTGATTAGAAACTGTATTATATTCAAATTCATTTTTTGAAAAAAGGATATAATAGGATATAATAAAACAAAGAAAATCAATATAAGTACGTATTTCAATGTGATTTTATAATTTGATCAAATTAATTTTTATTATTATTTTTATTTATATTGTCCCTAATGTTGAACAGAGAAACAGAATAAAATAGAAAAATTCGTTCAAAATTATTTTCAGATGTTGTAAGGTGTGCGCTCGTGTCGAGGGAGAACCATGCGGTGGTTTGTTTGGATTTTCTGGAAGTTGTGCCAACGGCTTACAATGCGTCATCAAAAACTTGCTGCCCAACACTCGAGAAGTGGACGAGGGAATTTGTACAAGTGAGTAAAATTTTAGATTTATTCACAGATTTATTAATGTCTTTCGAATCTATTATCTTTTTATATCAAGTTAATGGTGCACTGGGAGTAAAGAAAGAATAATGGTGTGTAAATTTATGGAGCGATTTAAATCACTTTACTAGCCGATTTTTAAAATCACAGTGATTAATATGTGCCATTTTATAGAACTTTTACGGATCAGTTTTTATCACACCTGTCACTATAAGCACTCTTTTCTCAATATCTATTTTGCCTTATTTTCTATCGATTATCTATTTGATATACATATTTGATATACAAGAATCATTAGTATTTCGTCAAGGGCAAATTGGTAGTTACATTTTATATTAAAGAAAAATAAATGATTATATATAAGTATTTATTTACGTATTTATAACAAATTATTTATAATAAAATATTTTAACATTTTATATAGTTTCATTCTTGCTTTAAGATATATAAATAGATAAAAAAAGTAAATAGCATGAGTTTGTATTAAAAAAAATGAAGTTATATATAAAAGAATATTTGAAAATATAATCTAAAAACTTTTTCTATTATATTATATATATATATATAATTTTCCATATAATTATGTTTATTGAGACATTTATCATATTACGGTATTAATTTTTCTATTGTATCATTGAAAATTTATCGTATAATTAGCAATAATCATTTTCGCATTTAATCTTATTCATTAAAATTGTGTCTTTACTTTGGAAGATTTTTTTGTCTGAAAATAGTTGAAGTCATAAGAAAAAAAGTCTAGATTGTATGGAGAGTGTCATATTTTCCAATTAAATTTTCCCATAAAAAATGAATTATAGTCTAGATTTCCAATTTGAATTTATTTTTAATAAATATGACATGTTTTATTTCATCTTTTATGTAAATTTATTTTAATGATTCATAACAAATTAAAGATGATTGCTAAGTCGAAAATATGAATAATTTCAGAACAGAAATATTAGAAAATATTATCAAATTCTATCGAGATATCTTGATATCTTTGATCACAAAAAAAACTAGGCAATTTATTTTTTAGCTTATTTTCTATCTAACACTTTTCAAATAAACTGTTTAAATAAAAATGATAAGATATAACAAATTCATACAATTTATTTGTTTGTTAATCGTGTTGAAGTTATGTTAACGAGGACAATCTTTTACGGTCATGATTATCGATATAGGGAGATAATAATAGTATCCTGTCTGGGATATAAAGAATAAAGTGACAGATATATAATTTTTAATATATGTGCTAATAAAGAATAATAAAGATTTATTTGTTTGTTATATCTTGTAATATGCTTTGAAATGCAAATTATGCCATAAAAATATTATGATATAAATATTTAAAATAGATAAAAAATAATTTGATTGTTCTTTATATTTTATATTTTATTAACAAAGCAACATTTAATACAAATAAAATATAAAATAAATATAAGAGATACGTACATAAATGAAACAGTATTTATCCTGGAATATTTGTATATTTAAAAAAAAATAAAAATGTCATCAAAGAAGTCAAAATGCTTAGTTAAAATCATAATGTGAATTGAATCTATGGTATTATACCTATATATGTTATCGCAGATTTATATATATATTTATTCTTAATATTTAGAATGTATAAAATATCATAGTTATTTATATTTTTGATATATAAATTTTTATTTTATTTAACAGAAAGCAACAATTAATGTTACTTTTAATTATTTTAAGTAGAAAAAATAAATTAGAAATTTATAAAAATATAAATTATATTTAAATATATTTATATAAATATTTAAATATAAATAAAAATAAAATATAAAGCCATTTATTACATACATATTTTATCGAAAATAAAATTATTATGTTTGAATTTTGCTGAATTTATATATTATAATAACTGAAAGCGAAGATTTCCATATATCTTATAAAGTCAGTATCGATCGATCTATTCTTCTTAACATTTCAAAAAGCCGATTCTTTTGTAAGGTCTATGCATAAATTTTTCCTAGTTTCCTATTTTCGATTCTCGAGGACTCGAAGTTAATAACCGATAAAAAGAATTTATTTCAAATAAACAACTATTTATAAATCGTGATTCGAATTTTTCTATTCAGATATTGTTATCATGATATCATATTATCATATCTTTTTTATCCTTCAAAATATTTCGTTAATTTTTATTCTTATTTATTATTTATATATATTCTTTTTATTCTTTATTATTATTTGTTAATTAATAGCTATACTTACAAACAATACATGATTTTTATCTCATCTGAAATATTGCCATTCAATTCTTATCTTCTTTTGATTTTATCTTTTATTTTTTTTTTAAGTTTTGACTTACTGTTTTTTCGTTGAAACTTTCGATTTTAAACAAGTTGAGTCCTGACTGTGGACCGAAAGAATACAAATAAGATAACTTTATGTGAATTTAATTGAACAAATTCTTCTGTTGCAACTGCATTGTTATTACTTTGTTTTTTTATATACCGGAATTAATAGAAATTATTACTATAATAGGGAAAAGTTTGATATGAAAAAAGAAATAATACAATAGAAGAAGAAAAAGTTGGATTCATTTGACGAACAAAAACGAGAAGTAAAGTAAAGTTTGCTTTCAAAAAATTTTAAGAGGCAAAAAAAATATTCAAATATTTTTAAATGTGTAGGTATAGTAATTATTATTTTTACATATTTTTTTTTTTACATATTGAAATGTTAAGTTAAAAAGATTGATGTTTTTTGAATAGTTTTTTAAAATACGATTAATAAATAAACAAAATGAAAGTCGATTTATAAATCCAGATTTTATTAAAGGAAAATAATAAAAAATAAAATAGTATATCTAATATAGTATTATATTAATATAGTATTATAAGAATCTAATAAATAAATAGTGCTATATAAAAATCTATTAAATATAAAACAGTTATGATCTATCTTATTCATCTACTTTGAAATTATGATTCATCAATCGTGAATGCTAGAGACGTGGTAATCGCATTTTTATTTGCTGCTCTCAAAAACCTTTTTAGTATACATAAATTTGAATATATATCTTTTGTATATATTGTTATTTTATTATGCTTATTTATTAAATTTTTTATTGTTAACGTACCTGCTTATAATATTCATAAATATTTATAAAATATAAAATATTTTTTTAAAACAAGAATACTATATTTTTAACTTTATGAAATTTTAAATATAGGCATTCAGTAATGATCCAATTATGGAATATTTCATAATTGAATTATATTTTTTTCTTATAGTTCGTTTATTATTGGTATGTCTTCTTCCAATACGATGAACCATCAGCAAAAATTATGGAACGAAGAAAAAATGAAGCTATAAAAGTTATCAGGAGAATCGTGAATTACATTAATATGTAAACTATTTAATGTGTAAACTCTGGATAGTGAATACTTGATATAAAATTTAACATAAGGATATTACAAGTAATTATTGTAATTATTTTTTTTATTTAATTGCACTTTAAATGTAATATTATAATCAAAAAATGCGTAATAAAAGAAAATATTTGTTGTTTTTTATCTATCAAATAACTATTTTTGTAATTAATTTGTAATTAAATTTTTATTTAATTTTATATAAAATATGACATTATAACCAAAGCTATAATAAATAAAAAAATTTTTTTGTTTATTTTTTTATGAAAATATTTTACATTTATTGTCAGTTGTATTTTTTTTTGTTGTTCTTTTGTATAGTGTTCTTTTGATAACGTGATTATATCTAAGTAAAATCATCGATTTTCAATTTTGAAGTATTATAATTGGAAAATTATTGAAAAGGTATCTTTTGGTAGGTGACGAAAGCTGTTCTAGTCAAAATCTCTTTTCTTTTGATTGAACGCTTCTCAGATTCGAGATTCAAGGTCTGATGAACGCTTCGATACTAATTACTCGCACCATCTTCTCGTTATTATCTTAAAGTGGCAGATAATTGAATTGCCGTGATTCAATTTCCTCATGATGGAAATATTATTTTTCTTTCTCTTTCCTAGATATATCAAACATATCGTATTTTTTTTTTCTACGATTAGTAAAAAAAATAATGTCAATTTTGTGAATACCGAAATAAATCAATTTATTATACAATATTTACATAATATCCAGTTTTTAAATCATTTGAAATTTATGTAAATATTATAAAATATTGTATTGTTATGAAACTTATTAATAATATGATGTTTTTCGAAACTAAATTTATTAGCAATTTATATATATTAATAATTTTATCGGTAATTATTTATTTTAAATGATGATCTTAATCTTGATATATATTGTTAAAAATATCCTTTTCTTTATAAATTAATCGGCGATCTCCGATTGTTCAATTTGCAAGATATTTACAAAAAATGATTACTATTATTACATTTCGAATATACATATGCATCTATAATATCTAATATTCAAAATGTATAACGAATGAATTAGCTATTTTCTCATAGATAGAAATATCTTTATCTCAAACGATAACGAGTTGGATTGATTCTTCAAATCAGCGAAAATAAAGTATAAAATAATATAATAAAATATAAAATTACAACGATAGATATTAAGTATTATGCTAATATCATTGATTCAATTCATTGATTATCATTGATTGAAGATTATTTCATATTTTATTTTGCATTTTATGTATTTATATAACAATAAAGAATTCATTTGTTATACATAGTTACATATTTTAACTTTCGATCGTTACCATGATGTATTTATATAAACAGTTGATTGATGATGCATGCATTCGCATGCATATAAGCGAAATTCAAGATAGTAGTAACAGCATTTTTTACAAATATCTAGAAAACTGTAAGAACTGTGGATTAAGTTATAAAAAGTTATAACATATGCAACATATGTCTAAATTAAGATTATTGTTGACGTTATTATCTCTTAAAGCAAATAATTATTGTCATTCATCATTGGATGATATTGTTTTGTAATTCAATCAAATTTATCTAATAT